AATAAAAGGAAATGGAGGGGGAGGAAAAGAGAGGGAAGGGAAGAAAATAGAAGGAAATGATTTGTGTTAATTTTGTTTGGATAAATAAAAATGAAGAAGGGGAAGGGAAATGAAGAATTGTATTATTTTATGTTTGGATAATTAAGGTAAAAGGAAGGGAAGGAAGGGAATGATTTAAATTAATTTTAAATTTACAAATTTATTCTTTAAGTTTGTAATGAAAAAAGATATAATAAAAAAATTAAGGTTAATTTTGTAATTACATTTAACTTAATATAAACAGTCACTCAAATCCCTCCCAAACCCCCCAAATTGGACGGATTGCAAATCTGCAGATTTGAGGGGGGTTAAAGGGAGTCCGAATCAGTCCATCTCCCTCCCCCTCTGCCTTTTTGAAAACCCAAACAGGAGGAAGGAGACAACTCCCCCTCACTCCCCCTCCCTTGCCATCCGTCCCCATCCCTTCCCCTCTCTCTCCGTCCGACACCTCTAATCCAAACAATACCTTAACTTTCCAAAATTACCCCTATTTGTTCTTATCCTCTCATCTTTTGATTCTTTTCCAGAACGCCCACCGACCACAGCCATCAAGGTTCACCTCCATCTCTCTTTTGTAACGCAATTTTTCTTTTGAGCAGTGCTAGGGCACTCGCCTCTTGCACTCGCCGGCCAACACTTCCCCTTTCATTGGGCCACGTAAGCTTGTTTCAGGCCTTGAAGTGCAACCTCTTACTGACCAAAATAACGTAGCCCAATAAAAGTGAAAGTGTTGGCCTGAGAGTGCAGAAGGTGAGTGCCCCTAGCACTCCTCTTTTTCTTTTTCATGTTTTTTTTTGCTTAGGATTTTTTTCTCAATGATTTTTCTTTCATGTTTTTTTTATTGCTATATTCCGATGCATAGGGAAAAAAAAAAGAAGAAAGAAATTTAGTTAAAACATTAAATTTTCTGAATCAATCTATGCGTGTGATTCGGTGTAATTTCTCTTATTTGTGAAAGTGTTCACTGTTTATTTTTATATATCTAATTATGAGTTATATAAGAAAAAATAATTTTTTCCCCTTAAAATCCATTCTCATTAAACTCAAAATTCAACTCTTAATTAGTTAAGAGATGGGATGTAAAAATGTTAATTGTCAAGGTAATACAAATATTACCAAAT